AATTAAATATTAATGTCATGTCTGCATGTTTTAGTTGCTTTTAGATTATATGACCTTGACAAAGATGACAAGATCTCTCGGGATGAGCTTTTACAGGTGAGTCTGCTACTTCAGAGTCCAGGATTTTTACATGGAGTTTATTCGTCTTCTAAAAATATCTGATGCTTAGGAAAGTGCAGTAAAAATGTACATACTTTAGGGTACATCGACATAAATAAAAACCTTGATAGAAGCATTTTTATTCTATTATTATTATTATTATTATGATACAGGATTTAATAGTGCCAATAGTTTGTGCAGCGCTTTACAACATAGGGAAGACATTATTGCAATACAATTCAAGACACAATGGTAAGGAGGGCCTACAATCTAAGAGGTATAAAGAAAGCGCCGGACGCACAAGTTTTTTCCTAGTGCTGTGGCTGGCCAATTATGATGAGAAAGAGTCGGTATAGGTGATCTGACTAATGGACAGGCAGCTACTACATTCCAGAGTGTCCACTGTCTCCTTTGTTTTGTAGAGTCAATTCGTAGGATTGGGAAGTAAAGTGACACACTCCATTTAATAGGCCAGATGCATCTTTATTTAATGTAGGGCTGAGGGTAGGCAATCTCACACACTGGACAAAACTGTATCCAATTTCAAGCAATCACAGTTCTGATACATGTTTGCCATTAGTAAAGCCCCAATGAAGTGTGAGATTTGTATGAGCCCCTGAACATTCGCTATTTCTAGGGCAAATTCCTGGTTGCATAAGCGTCAACCTCTGGACCGCTTTGGGTAATTTTATAGCTTGCAGCACTGAATTAAATTTTTTGCTGGGACATTTTCCCTCTTAGCAGCTGCTCACACTTTAATGCTTTGATCTTCAGGTTCCAAGTCATAACTGTTCTCTTGGTGCACTGCACACCTAGGCTGGGCCAAAGGGTATTCCAGATCTACTAGCACATCGTCCAGGCCACTTAGTGTGTTTTTGCTTAAATTAGCTGTTTTGCTTTTGGAAGGTCCTGCGAATGATGGTTGGAGTGAACATTTCTGATGAGCAGCTTGGAAGCATTGCTGACCGTACTATTCAAGAGGCAGACCAAGATGGAGACTGCGCTATTTCATTTTCAGAGTTTATGAAGGTAAGCGTCTGTTAAATTTTGTAATTCCACAAGTGTTGGGGTATAAGTGTACCACTGCAGTCTACTACTTTAATGTAAAATGTTAAGGACTTTCCATCTATATGTCAATAAAATATATGCAAAGATCAGAATGCTAGTGGGGACATCTTTTCGAGAGCTCCCTAGATGACTCGCATACTAGCTTGTCATGATATTACCAAGTCAAATATGAGTCCTGCTATTGCCAGCTTGATCATAAATGAATCATAAAGTGTAAAGGTGGCCTTGCTGACCAATAATTACCTGAAGGGGTGGGTGCCAGCACGAACATGAGATCCACTTTCTGTTTCCACAATATTGCACCCTGCAATTTAGGGTACACTGTTGATCGCAGCATCATCCCTATGCCAGTTTTTTTTTTGTTCGGCAAGGTACCCCAAGTCAATAGTAAAATATCATATTGTTAGAAAAGTTTGTGAATGTAACTGAAGGGCTCAAGAGTGAACCAGCATGGTAAAAAATCCCTAGGGACAGTTAAATTGCAGCAAGTAAAAAAAAAAAGACAATTTAAAGTGACTCAACTCATGCGTTGCATCTTAAAAATGCATTCAAGTACCTTTTTAACTATTAACAAAAATGTACCTTATTTGTATATCGCTCGTCGCTGGGTGTGTTGGAAAGTAGCCACCGCTCCAAGCCCGCTCCTGTGATGCACTAAAAATCTCAATACAAATTTGTTACCTAAACATAAGACTGTAGTCCATCACGGGAGCGAGCTTGGAGCGGTGGCTACTTTACAACACACCCAGCGACCACAGGGAACAAAAGTAGCCACCCTCCAGAAGAAAGGACAGTGTCAGCATGAATTCAGAGATGATTTGAGGATCTACAGCTGCATAATACACAAATAAGCTAAGTTTTTGTTAATAGTTAAGGTGCTTGAATGCATTTTTAAGGTTTAACTCCTGAGTTTAGTATCACTTTAAGGTTATAGAGATGGTTATAATTTTCCTGGAAAATGTCTGCAATTTTGTTGGGGTGCTGTTGTATAGTACCCTTGGAGTTCCGTAAAGAAGTGATCAGTTTGTTATTGGCTTCCTTCTTCAGTTTGTGGACTAAAAGGGTATGTGCTTTTAACTTTTTTATAATATTTCTGTTTTGAGCAAAGCATGGATCGATTTTTATGTAGAAGGTGCTGTAAGGTTGCTTGCAAGATTATAATTCTGCATAGAATAGATTTAGATGTTTTTTTATGGGCCAGGAGGTGTTCTAGTTCATGAAGTTGCTGTTTTCAGGTGTTCCAATCTTGCCCCACAATCCTCCCCTTTACGAACTTCCAAGAGTTGATTGGTCAGAGACCGATCCAATGTTGGTATCAAAATTTTGAGTCCTAACCCCCTCTAGGTCATTTCTAGTAGTGTCTTCCAAGGAGATCCTCCATTTAACCTCCCAGTGACAACTCCTAATCCTTGTAGGATCAATTTGGAGAATCTGTTGTATAGGAGCATGGCAGACTATGACTATATGTAGGGCAAATGTCTGCAGAAACCATATTCCGAAGCACTGGAGTATCAAAGAATTAATCCATTCTTGTATGAGTACCATGCACAGCAGAATAAAAAATAGTTTCTCAGCGGGGTGAATCATGCGCTAAGAGTATAAGAGGAAGCGCTATAAGTAAGCGACAAAAGTTTGGATAGGGATGTAGTAGTTTGCGGGTAAGTTTGTTAGGAAGGGTAAGGTGGTCAAACGCCACAGAAAGTGGCAAGTTAAAGTATGTGTGATGCCATTTTGAAAGCTTCGCCAAAACTTTCTGTAGAAAATGAAACTGATTTGTTTTTGGGGCGTATATATTCCAGATCGTGAAGAGGTCATCATTCCATGTCCCATTCAGGATTATGTACCATTCCTGTTTATCTAGGAGAATGTTGGTTGGTTTAAAAGGGCAAGTTTTAACAAGTAAAATGGCTACTCCTGCTTTTCTAGAGGACACTGAGGCAGTGTAGACTATAGGGTAATGTTTGAATTAACAAAATGAAAAAGTTCCTGGAATCCTAGTGAGACACCTGAAGGAATAGTATACCTGGAGAATTTAAATTTCCGAAGGCCAGATTGTGTTTTAGTTTTGTAATTAAGCCCTTTTACTTTAAGAGGTATCAATATATAATTGGATATGTCAGCCATGTGTAGATAAAAGTAAAAAACCTGTCAAAATGGGGCACATCAGAAGACAGAATTCCTACCTCCCTTCCCATGGGGGGGAAGGGGTACATTTACTCTAGCTGTGTTGCCGACACCATCAAGAGGAGGATCACAGAAGAGTCAGGAGTGGTTGGAGATGTTTTCGTTGTAGAGCAACCCAGGATAAGTCTGGATAGGCATGGAGGGAGCAAATATTGCATGCCATCTGTAGACATTCCTTATTGACGGTATAATAGTATCTACAAATCTTCTCTAACACGTTGATGTTGATCCTCTCAGGCAGGGGGCTTAATGGGCTATATCATGGGCTATTTTTTTTTTCCTACTTTTTTAGTACAGGGTTTGGCCAGATTGTTAAAGTTGGATTGCAAGCCTTTGATTCTCAAGTAACACTTTCATTTTTCCCTCATACTGAACTCACAACAGCTACATATTTTATAATGTCCAACATATATCCGGTGTAACATAATACACTGTGGTGTAACATAATACACTGTGGAGCCTATACCACATGGAGGGTCATGTGCATTACATGCAACTTTCAAAAACTTTGAACCTGTTGTAATTTGATTTCTTAAGTCAAGTGAACTAGCAATAATGTCTGATGTCCAGCACAGAGACTACCACCAAATAACTCCTCAAAGAGTGTCTGTCTGTAATGGGGTTTTTCTTTGTTTATTTTCCAGGTTCTAGAGAAGGTAGATGTTGAACAGAAAATGAGCATCCGGTTCCTTCACTGACCACTTAAGATGGAATTGCAGCTCTAGAAAATGTATCATAAACTATAGAACAGCGTGTGCTTTACATCTCAGTGACCTTTCGAAGACACCAACCCAAACAAAGAATGCATGTATCACACTACTGCGGATAACTTGTAGATGTATTTATATTTCCAGTCTGATAGAATATTCCTGTTGGATACTAAAATGTAACATTTTGATCCTGTTTCACAACTATAACTGATCTATATAGCATTATAGTGCATATATTTTACTAATGAAATTATTGCTGAGATTAGTGTCATGCTAGACATGCATGGCTTGAGTTTTGGCCGATTTTTTTTTTTTTTTTTTTCTGACAAATCCAGAAGAAATTCAAGCCATTGGTGGCCCTGTCTATATCACCTGGCTCTACAAACTGAGGAGTGGAAAATTACTCAGCCAATTAGTGACTGGATCTAAGCAGATGCAGTCCTTGTTCGTGTATTGAGGCATTCACAGGTACCGGCTGTCTGAGTACAATAGCCGGCAGGGCAGATTCCCCCATCCATGATGCTTAGTGTGGATGTGGAAATCCAGTCATTTTCTCCAGGCTGAACAAGAAAAATCTAAACCTATATAGGTAGCTTCAGACCATTCTTTTGCCATGTCTGGGAATGCATGTTGTAATTTAGTGCAGCAGGCTGCTTTCATATTTGAGTTATGTAATTTGAAATGTGAGTAAAAGCAGTAAACAGTCTAAAGAAAAACTGCATAGCAGAAATTGGGAGTGTTTAATTAGTAAAGAAAGAATCTGACCGCACTCCGTTCCACGCTGAATCCGATTATTGCAAATATATGTACATATGTATTAAGACATTTTGGGTTAGTATAAAACTGATTTTTTAAACTGGGGGGGGGGGGG